GTATAGATATAGAGATAAAAGGTAGGTACCTAACCTATGTGTACGAATTAACCATTAGGAATTCTTCTAGAATTTGCTTAAATAGTACCAAATTTTTAAAGGTGTCAAATTGTTTTCACCTATTAAGTCAATAAAAGTATCATCAATTTATTGACCTTTTCTTTTTGATTAAATTTAATAATAATGAGTTGAGTGGTATCAATAACATCTTACGAGTATACCAGTGGCGTATCCATGGGGGTGGTTTGGGGGGATCAGAACCYCTCCCTCCACATATGAACCTGAGATGGCAAACTWATTTTTATATGAACTATTGGTTATTATTTTATATTTTAACATTTTTAGAATTTAGACTTGCTGAACCATCTCCCCTCCCCATAAAAAGTTCCTGGCCACGTCACTGTCTTATACACACATAATATATATTTTTATCATTATCAATATTATCAAAATTTAGTGGCTGATYCACATTTTTTCTTATTATTATTTGACTCCTATTCTAGCAAAATACAATTAATATAATTGAAGAAATATGTAAAATAATAAAAGTAATTTTTAAATATTTTACACAGGCCTCTTTCAAATCTTCATAATACCTATGTGGTGACATATAGTGTATGATTATTGTTTCATGTATGAAAAATATAATTATTAAAAAACTATCACAAATACCATTATATTATGTGGGTAGTGGTCAGTAGTTTATTTTAACCATTATAGATATTACATTTTCATTCGATTTCTCAAGGCTGACAGTCCCTATTTTTATACCTAATAATTGAACCATCGAGGCGATTTTTTTATTATTTCTATTATTTTCATATTATATCAGTGTAGTATAATATTATTATTATACATACATAATTTGTTGGTTTTTCAAATAAATGTAAAAAAGTGCCTTAACCTATTGATTGCAATAAAGTATTCACTACACTTTATCGAATTAAAAATGTAAGACATATATTTTAGTATATAATATTATTTTTATTCTTATTTACTGTACCTATGTATTTTAATTTCTTTTAAAATAAAGTATACATACAGATTTTAATAAAACTGATCGTTTAGATTGTTTAAAATTTAAACTTAAAATAATATGGACTATCTGGCAATTGGATAACAATTGATTAAATGCATTAAATAAAAGTATGTAAAA